CTACAAACATAATATCATTCGTATCTTCAGAACCTACTGCAAATTCCTTTTTGATCGATTCTATCACGGCCTTACGAAAGGTGTCATCACCGGCCATGCACAGGTCATCTACATGCAAACAGACTACTCCATGTACCTGTCTGCCCTTGGCATTGTTGCCTGCTATGGGATCTAGGAGCTAGTCAATCGCTGATTCCATGGTCTTTGGCTGAGACTTCTTGAGCTCAGCATCTGCTGTTGCAGACTTCTTACCATACAGAACATATGTACAGCGATCCGCACGGGTTGGCACCAGGCCATAAGACAGGAGTGCCTTATCAACGATGTTCCACCATCTTCGCGGTGCATCGTTAAGTCCATAAGCGGGTTTCTTCATCCTCGCTGCAATGTAGGGAGGATAACCTGCTTCAGGAGGAATCTGACAGATTATGTCTCTCGACTCATCATAGGCTTCACCCTGCAGAAAAGCAGTCTTTAGGTCGATGTGTGTCAGATTCCACAGCTTGTTAGCTGCTAGTTGAATCGCTAAGCGGAAACCTGGGCGACTCGCAGCAGGACTATCAGTTTGCTGTATGTCCTTTTGTCGATCCTAGAAACCTCTTAGGACCCATCGGGCCTTGCACTTAAGGAAGTTTCCGTCCTTATCTCTTTTTAGAGTCAGGACCCATCGACCAGTGACATAATTTCGGATGTTTCCGAGTTTCCGTGTATCGACGAGCTCAACGACATCATTGTCTAGCCAGCTCTGATATTCTGCTGCTTTCGCTTCATCAAACTGTTTCTTCATCTCACGCTTTTCTTTGGCGGTTGCCTCCTTCCGTTGTGACTTCTGGGTCAGATTTGCTGAGTTCCTGGGGGAACTTAGGGATAAGGCCTTGTCCTCTTCCGTGAGAAGATCGTACTCTTCACGAATGTCAGATCGTAACCTTTTGGTGGGTTTATACCGTGTTCGGTCTGACCTCACTCTTGATGTTACCTCTCTGATGTCTACGGGTCCGCCATGCATGTACCGAGGCATGGAGAAAGAACCTGTGTTACTGCACATTTTCTGTTCTTCTGTGAGAAGGATCCAGTCCTTCTCATCTACGACCAGGTCACCTTCCTCATCAGAGTAATACCTTGTGTCTTCTGACTCGGCATCGCTCTCCGGTTCTGGTGAACCAGAGGCGTGAGGAGGAGCGGACGGTTGTCCGGGGTCGTCCGGGACCAGTTCTTCTTCAGAATCTTCTTCATCTTGTTGTAACGGAAGAATGGGTCCCTGTGGATTTGCCTTCGGTTTAGGTTTTGGTGTCGGCACCTGTGAAGGTGATTTCTGTTTGTGCGGCGAAACTTTCCTTTCCGATGAAGACCTTGGCGACACATCACCCCCAGACGCCGAGGAGACGGAACACGAGGAGGCGGATGCACGCGAGGCTTAGCCCGAGCAGGAGCCACGGGCTCATCGGAGGAAACTGCCGGTAGTCGCGGTGGAGGTATGGGAGGAGGAGGACGCGACGGCGGTGTGCCGGGAGGCATCGGCTGATCTGGTTCCGGCATAGAGACATCGTCAGATGTGATCCGTGAGCGATTAGTGCTCATGGGTTCTGACGGGTCTGACGGCGAAACCTCTTCGTCCGACATGATAACATCCGGCGGTGTTCGCACGGACGGTGAAGTCTTGCCGCCTGTCATCTGGAAGAGCACCCCCGAGAAGGTTGATGTGTGTACTTTATTCCAGGAAACCTGGTGCGGCAAGCAACACGTCATAGTCGAATTGGGCTTCTTCTTGTTCCAGAAGACAAGAACGCCATCAGTTACACTGGTGAGTGCTTTGACTGTTCCAAATGTACCTCTGTATAGAGTACACTGTTCGAAACCAGACCCTGGTAAGAGTCTTGATCTAAGGCGAGTAATGTCTGACACCAAGGCATCAAGGGACGGTGATGGTTTGGAATGATGCAATGGTAATTCAGTTTTACTCGATAAGGAATTTACTCTAGCAACAAGTGATCTGATTTTCGGATCTTGCAGGAGTTTGGAATCCTTGAGAGGATTTGCTGTCAAAAGTGAATACTCTTGGTCAAGAAGTTCCGAAAGTCCCTGGAGGCATTCATCTCCAGAGTATCCTAGTATGTCTGTGACTAAAGAAAGATGAGATGCATATGTATCTCTCTTCAGGAATCTTGCCAAACACGAGGCAAAGGTCTCACAGAATTCATAAGGATACACTTGTGCGAGTTTCGTTTTAAGACCGTAGCCTTGAATACCCTTTTCGTCTCCTGGTGGAGATGTTGGAGATTTCGTTTTGGCAGAATGCCTCTGGAGAGGAGTTAGAACCTGCGGTGGCAGGTTGTGCATGAAAATCGAGGATTTCGATTCATAGTATCCTTTTGGATCTTTCATGCCATAGGCTTGTAGGTTACAGACCTCATAGCTGATCTTGCGGTTGGAAAACAGGCGTTTTGCTTCTGGTGAAGACCAGAGCCTGCTGTAGTATGGGTTCTCAAGAACAAAGTAACGTCCGAGCTTCATTTGGTGGTCTGCGACCGATTCACAGAATTTTAAAACAGAAAGTCTCTTGGCAGAGCCTTTCTTCCACTGTGAGTACCAGCTAGACCACTGAGAGTGATCGGGTGACATAACAATAATAGTAGGTTCTTGTTCCTTGATGATCCTAAGAAGATTGGAGCGACCTTGCGGTTGCTCAAGATCTAGACCACTACGCAAGTCGACTGGCTGACCTACTCGCAGACCTGACAGGGCAGCCTTGTGACTCATACGGGGAGATCCACCGTAGAGTTCTAGGAAGTCAATCTTCCCAGTGCTGGTGACCTGCCAGTGACACTCTTGATGCGGAACCGTTAGGTCTGTCGACTGCAGGGAAGCATCAAAGGTGACCATGCAACTTGCGTGGTCAGAACCTTCTGACGTCAGAGTTTCCTCATCAGGCGCGAGAGGAATCTCCACATCAGATGTTATGTCATAATTTTTCCTCAGTTTTGAGATATTAACGCGGACGATGCGTGTTCCAAGATCCACACCTACCATGGATCCTCCGAGTTCGGAGATCACCTTTCCTTTTAGCCAAGATCCATGTTTGGACCCAGTTGATCCAATCTTAGACTTATCTTCTGACCAATAGAAAACCTTATCTCCCAAAGAGAAAGGTCCTTCGGTCATTGACAGTCTGGCCGCAAGATCTCTGCGCAGATCATCAGATTGGCGTGCCTCTTGGTAAGCCCTGTTGGCAAGCTCCTTAATGGCTCTCGCAGTGACTTCCGTATCAGTTGGATTACCTGTCAACTGATTGGGATCAGCGTTCTCTGGTGTTATAACATCTCGAGGACGCCTACCAAAGGCCATTTCTAAAGGAGTAACTCCTCCATAGGTAATCGAAGAGTTTCTTGCCAAACATGCTTGTCGAACGAGGTTGCCATACTTCATGGTGATTCCGTTATACTGCGGGTCACCATCCTTCAGGATCTGAAGTATGATCTTAATCTGATGCTTCAGCAATCTTACAGCAGCTTCGGCCCTGTTGGGCCATGGTGTTCCAGGTCCTGTTGCTACAGGCTTGATATTCTGCCGATTGTAATAAGCCTCCATTTTTGGAGTCATGAATGCTTGATCTCCAACTACAACCTTTGGGTTGATCTGAAATTTCTCAAAGTAGTCATTCATAATCGACATTGTAGTATGCTCTTCTTTATCCTGGACTACTTCGGAAGTCAACAGGTTTGTTGCTCCGTCATAGAGAATAAGAAATATTAAGCGACTATTCTTGCCGGGAATTGGAAGCTCACCGTGATCTACGAAGGTGAGATCAC